CATTATCTTGGTGCCAGAAGCAGATAAGAAGGAAGAGGATGAAAACTTTGATAATTATTTTGCATAGAGGAATCACTTGTGGTTCAGTAATGTGGATTCATCATCCTCACAAATCTGCTAAAGCTATTCTTAGTTACTTTTCTCAGATTTGAGGTAAATCGCATTCTTCATAAAACTAGTAGACAAAAAATTTCATTCTCTTTTTCGATGTAAAAAAATGATTAATAACAATCAAAGCATAAATCCGGGAGTCCTATAGTTGCCATTGGAAAAGGTACCTTTTGTGAGTTTCCTGGAAAAAATATCCACTGAAAATTTTCTGGGTCTAAAACTTTTTAGCATGGGCAAAATATTGCAAGGATCTGCTGAATTATGTGACACGTCGAGTGCAACTGGAGTTAGAGCACGCCAAGCGAGTGCAGAATCTTGCCAACCAGTCAAAAGTTGCCATTAGTGAGGTGCTTATTTTTGTGAGTCATTGAATAAATCAAGAAATGGTTGTAATTTTTGATCTCGAAACAGCAGTTCACTGTTTACATCCGGAAACTTTTTGTGATTTTCTACATTTCCACGATAATTCCTTTACCAAAGAGATAGTAAAGGAATTATTATGGAAATGTAGAAAATGGTTTCCAAAGAGAATAAAAAACAAGAAAAGTGATTGGATTATGAAAGTATTATGTTGCAAGTAATATTTAATTTCAGCGATTAAGAAGTATCAAAAAAACATAGATTTGAAAACGAAAATAAAAAAAATGAAAAAAAATTGGGATGAAAAAGGTTAAAAAAGGCTCGAGGAATAGGGCTAACTATTTGAAAATAATAAAAAGTGTTTGTGCTTTGAAATTAAGTAACGAAAAATGTTTGCACTTTCAGCTATATGGTTAGCAATTTTTCCAGCTGTTTTTGAATATTATTACATTTGCGCCAGATAATCGAACTTGACGAAACAGGAATTTTTGAAAAATATGAGATTTCAAAACAAACTGTGAAATATTAAATAGCAGGGACCAATACAGGATACCAATTAATAGATCTGAATCAGAAAAATTCTAAATAATTTAAAGTTATCTAAAAAGCATTTTAAATAAAAACCAAATAAATTTAGTACCAAATTAAATTATTCACAGTGTATCGAAAATAAAGACCGTTTCATGAATTGGATAAAATGGAAATTTGTTTATAGCACTATCTGCCACTGAAAGATGTTTTCGAGAGTAGTTTTGAGAATGATATCGCCTTTTGTGAGCATACGCAAGAAGCTGTAAAACACATTCAGGACCGATTCATCAAGGTAACTTTTGTTGTATAATTTTGAACAAGCAGATTTTAATTAAACAGTTAAATTAATAAACAACAGATTAGCAAACAGTCTGGTTGAATTATTGATTGTCCGTCGATAAATCACTGTACAGGTAGATAATTAGTAACAAGTAATTCAGTTAATAAGTATTATTCAATTAAATAGAAGCCCATGAAGATAAGATCAAAGTTCATCGCCTTTTCCGTAGTCAAGCGATACGAAATTTGTCAGAAGTTTAGATTGAAAAAAAAAAACAGTGCTGCCGAAGCAAGCATATTTCATTTAGAAAATGTAAACTAAACTGAAGTGCAATGAAACTGATGAAAAACAAAACCAAAAGTTTCCATCCGCACTTCATCACTCGTGCAAGGCGGAGGCACTCGAAAGTAATCGGGGTGGTAGCGCGCGCCAATAAAACTTTCATGTTGACAAGACAGTTGATGATCTCTTTTTTGATGCTTACTTTCAAGCAAACAAACGGCGAGTTAAAAATTAAAGACGATAAATTTTAAGTTTACTGAGATGACTAGAAGAACTGTCAGAAAATCAAATAATTCTCTAAATGCTGATCTCAAATTTCTCTTTTTCTCAGCTCTTGCATATTTCATTGAAATGCTAAGACTCCACCTCTCAAGTGGGTAGTTTACTGATCCGTGCAAAATTGTGGACTGCTTTCTTAACTTTTTCCCTCATTCTCTTACTTGTAAAATGCGTTTTATTTTTAAAAT